AGAAAAACTAATAAAATGATCAGTATCGTGCATTTATTTCACCAGTCTTCTCTAGACTACTAAATATTAAATCGTAAAATAATCGTTAATTTTGAATGAATTGTATGAGCGCGTATCGATCTATGCTGTCCAGCTACTGGGGTTATAAATTCGGGACAGAGGCAAAGTCGCATTTTGCATGTCCAGTCATAGGCTCACGAAGAGGTTATCTTTTTATTCTAATATCTTATAAACTACTGCTCAAAAGTTAATATAAGTGGTTTTAAATGATTGATTAAGACATAAATGATCCATTGTAGGTATTCATTCATGTCTATATGCTAACTAGGAGGCTCAAAAGATCAACATTCCGCCACGCCGCTACTAACTGTCCAGCGACTGGATGGTTTACATCATATCTACTGATTGAGAATGACATATGAGTTTGGTCACCTCGCTTGAGGTTCGCGTTTGTGACCATTGATGTTCTTAAGAACTATACGCGACCCTGATGTTGTAACTCAATCGACACGCTCTGAAAGTTACGAAATATACGACACGCCAGAAAACACAAAAGAAAAAAAAATCTATTCCGCAAAACATAATAAAAATGCTCACAGAAACAGCTGTATCTCAGTGAATAATAAAAATTTTGAAGTTTTGGAAAATGCAATGGAAAGGTAGCAAAAAATTCTACTCAAAAATAAAATAATTTTTTTTCAATTTTCAAGACCCTTTTGAGCCCTTCAGGAAAGTCATACACCAATTCACTCTTCTTTGGCCTTTTTGTGATATAAATCACAGTTTAATGTCAATCTACATTCTCAACACAGAATTGACAACTTTGAGCCCTAAAAATGTGGAAAACGTTGCAGAATAGGCATTTGCATCTAAAAATAACTCATTTTTGCTATAATAGCATTTTGTCCCTGTGCGCATGGTTCAGATCAGAGTTTTATAGGTGGAGACATCTGGTACGGAGCAAAATCTTCAGGAGAATGCTCTACAGGATTGAGTTTTGTGGAATTTTGATTAGAGTTATAAAAAAGTTTGAACGCTAACAGATGTGAAAAAAAGCAAGAAATAAAAAACATTTATTAATGTTTTTGAGCACATATTGAATAATGGAACTGATATGAAGGTCTAAATCAAAATTCCACAAAACTCAGCCATCCAGGATTAGTCCGCACGGTGGGCCTGAAGCCGCGATAGGTTTCATCAAAATGGCCACCAAAACTGATTGCACCACTGTATAGTCGGTCAATCACAGACGAAAACCCCGTTCGAACCAAAATCCTAGCTGATCCTGTTCAAAAGTTATACGTATTTTTCTATTTTTATCCAAAAACCTCTATTTATAGTCCGGACGCTGGCTCGGTTTTCGTAAAAATTTCCGACTCCACGGCATTTTTACATGTTTCTAGACGTATTTTGATGCGCTGAATCGATTTTTCGAGGTTGATTTTCTCGAATCAGGTGCGTTTAAAAGTTATAAACAAATTAATTGTTTAAACGGCCATATCTTGTAAAATATTGAAGATAGAGTAAAACAATTTGATCGATTACCTTTTGGAACGTCTTAAAATTTTCGTTTTTTGACATACTTTCATTTGTATTAAGTTGCTACATTATTATAATAATTTATCCCATCGAAAAACGCGTATAAATAAATGAAAAGTACGTGACAGTCACTAAATTACGTCTCAAAACCGCTAATAATTGCTTTATAAACAATCATACTGGGATAAAAGCTATACCGAATTGTTGTGTAGGTTATTACCTTTAAAATGAGACGTCGATGAGCTCGATCGCACTAATACGAGCCAAGTTACGGGGGTTGAAAGATAAAAAAGGACGTATTTCTAGTAATTTTGCACTAAATATTGCATAACTTTTTTTCTAGTGGACGGATTTTTAATTAATTTAATGGAAATTCTTTGTCTTTTAAAAATAAATAAAAGAAAAGAAAATTGTTTTTATCTATCTTCAATATTTTACAAGATATGGCCGTTTAAACAATTAATTTGTTTATAACTTTTAAACGCACCTGATTCGAGAAAATCAACCTCGAAAAATCGATTCAGCGCATCAAAATACGTCTAGAAACGTGTAAAAATGCCGTGGAGTCGGAAATTTTTACGAAAACCGAGCCAGCGTCCGGACTATAAATAGAGGTTTTTGGATAAAAATAGAAAAATACGTATAACTTTTGAACAGGATCAGCTAGGATTTTGGTTCGAACGGGGTTTTCATCTGTGATTGACCGACTAAACAGTGGTGCAATCAGTTTTGGTGGCCATTTTGATGAAACCTATCGCGGCTTCAGGCCCACCGTGNCCAGGCCGAAATCCTGGTCAATTTTTTGTTATAAACAAATTAATTGTTTAAACAGCCATATCTTGAAAAATATTGAAGATAGATTAAAACAATTTGTTTTTATTTTATTCGTCTTTGAAAAACAAAGAAATTCCATTAAATTAATTGAAAATCCGTCCACTAGAAAAAAAGTTATGCAATAATTAGTGTAAAATACGTCTTTTTTCACCTTTCAACCTCTGTAACTTTGCTCGTATTAGTGCGATCGAGCTCCTGGACGTCTCATTTTAAAGGTAATAACCTACAGAATGATGTAACATAATTTTTATGTAGGTAAAATTGTTTATAATGCAATCTGTAGACGCGTATAAACGTAATTTTATGGCTCTGACGTACTTTCCATTTGTTTATACACGTTTTTCGCTAAGATAAATTATTAAAACAACGTGGTAACTTAGTTCAAATGAAAGTACATCAAAAAACAAAAATTTTAAGGGGTTTAGAAAGGAAATCGGTCCAGTAGATGCCAAGTTACAGCCTTGGTTCATGAGTTCATGTTGTCTCAGTGTGCACGCCCTAAGCGCTCGCTCGTTTCTACGCGCTAGTTCAGAAGGTTGTAACTTGGCATCTACTGGACCGATTTCCTTTCTAAACCCCTTAAAATTTTTGTTTTTTGATGTACTTTCATTTGAACTAAGTTACCACGTTGTTTTAATAATTTATCTTAGCGAAAAACGTGTATAAACAAATGGAAAGTACGTCAGAGCCATAAAATTACGTTTATACGCGTCTACAGATTGCATTATAAACAATTTTACCTACATAAAAAATATGTTACATCATTCTGTAGGTTATTACCTTTAAAATGAGACGTCCAGGAGCTCGATCGCACTAATACGAGAAAAGTTACAGAGGTTGAAAAGTGAAAAAAGACGTATTTTACACTAATTATTGCATAACTTTTTTTCTAGTGGACGGATTTTCAATTAATTTAATGGAATTTCTTTGTTTTTCAAAGATGAATAAAATAAAAACAAATTGTTTTGATCTATCTTCAATATTTTTCAAGATATGGCTGTTTAAACAATTAATTTGTTTATAACAAAAAATTGACCAGGAATTCGGCCTGGCGACCTTCAAATTCGGTTTCAGCGACCCAAAAAACATAGAAATCCGTCAACTCGCCGAGGGGATCTCGCAAGTTCACTCAAATGTCACCAGCGCCCGGACTATATTTGAAAATGGTAAAAAATGTGCATTTTTTCCTCTTTGAGTCTCAATATCTCGGTAAATAATCATTTTACGAAAATTTTACAGGAGACACTTTTTGCTTAAAATTACCCAAAGAACACAAATGTGGTTTTGAAATTTAGGAAAATAAAATTTTTTTTCATTTTGCAATTTATTTGTTTATAATAAATTTTCGGGCAGTCTGAGCGACTTCCCACCGTGATATTCGGTTTCAGCGGGAAAAAATACATAAGAATAACATGGTTTCATCCATCTTTTTCACGTGGCCGATCCGACCTCTCTTTGGCTTCAGGACCAAAAGAAAAGGACTCTGAAGTTTCACTTCTAGTGTGTTCATTTAATGTGGTGAAAAGTTATATAAATTACAATACTGGACTATTTGAAGTATAGTGACGAGTATATTTTTTTATTTTTATGGTATTCTGTAATTTCAAGGAATGTGATTTTTGATAACAAAATTTGAGTTTCTCCTGAAATATTCAATTAAGAAGCCCTATTTAAATATTTTTTTATAATCACCTTCAGGACCTAAATGGCAAAAAATTTTACTTTATTATTTTTTAATGAACTCTTCAACAGAAAATACTCATTTTAAATTTCATTTTTGGGACTGCAATGCTTGTTCTTGATAGACAACATACAATTGCCTAGAAAATGAATTAATATAGAAAACTAACTTATTTTTATGTTTTTTCCGCTTATCCATACAACAAATAGACAAAAGATACTAAAACTGTTGTTGAGCTAGGCGCAACCAAACGGTAGGCATAAAAGCAAAGATCAGATCCAATCTCTGTGAACAATTTTGTGACTTTGATGGGTGTCAAAATAACTAATATATTTTTACTTATAATCTCTAATACTAGTGTCACTATTATATTTTTTATTTTCATTGTAATACATAAATAAAATCATTTTAATTTATAACTGTTTCAATCATAGGTTAAATGCACTCACTTTGTCTCAAAACTTATAGTAATATCATTGCTGCATTAAATACAAAGAAGAATCCAATATTTGAAATATAAAAACATTGAAATAGACACAATCAAAAACTTGAAAGAATTAAATTAAAATACGGTTACATAAAAATAGTGTGAAACAATTAAGAATAAGAATTTTTAAAAGCAATACTAATTTTAGCCTTTCAATTTTAGCCCAACTTTATGTATAAGTATGTAAATGAAACTAATGTGAAAATTTTCTAAAGTAATATAAAGAAAGCAATATTATATGAAGAATGAATAACATAGCTATCGTCTATTGATTATTGTACTTCCTGATAATTTACCAGCTTCAGTTTAATCCTCACAATGAATCTTTTAATTTTTTTAATTACTCTCATAAATTTCATAAATACATGATGTTCAATTACGCAATATCTTTTAAATTTGTTTAAAGTAATAGATAAAATAAATGGTGTGAGAAATTAGTGTTGACACAAAAACACTTACCCTCTTTTGTTCTAGAACCAGCAGCTTCTTTATCCGGATAATACATTTTTACTACTCTCAATGTATTTGTTTTTTATTTTAGATTACTATATCAGTTTTCATGCTGATATATATAGAAAAAATAAGTCATTATTTGATCTGGAAAAAAATGAAAAATAGATACATTTTGACAAGATACTTATTATCACTTCATTAATGATTTCCCGTTTCATCATTTTCCATTTAACTAGAATTCAACGTAATAAACAATGAAATTGATATATTTATTATTTTTTTTTTATTTTTTTTGTAAGAAATATCGAAAATTAGAATAATTTTTTTTCAAAATTAAGAATTTATAATATATTTCACTTTTTATTTTAATATGAAACAAATATTACGTTTAGAAAGTGTATTTAACGCAGTTTTGGTATACAACGTAACTGATATGTTGTTAACAAGTACCATTGCTTTGTTCCTTTTAATGGTGATGGAGTATGAACAAGAAATTCAGATTGCATGTAAACACAATTTTAATACAACAAATACTTTTCTTGAAGCTGACATTTGATTTGACCTAAGCTGTGCGTTACTGTCTTACTGTAATAAATAAGTGTGTTGTAAAGCGCACCTAATGAGCAATTGTGGAACTAGAAAAACAGCAGGGTTTTTATTGTGGATCAGAGCTCTTCAAGAATGACGTTTATGCTATATATAGCAGCTAAGGCTAGCGTGAATTTTGAATTTAATTTGAATTATGAATTTGAATAATATTACTCAATATTTCTCTAAGTAATCCTCTAGTCTTGAATGCTTAACACTCCGACGGAAATTTTTTTTATGAGAAAGTTTTATAAAGTCTAAAAAAGTCTAGAAAAGACTTAAAAAGTCTTACGAATGTTCGGATTTCGTACACCTGATTAATGATTTTAAAGAGTTAATAAGAGTTTTCAAAAATTCATAAAACCTTGTGGAGACTCAATTTTTTAGCAAAAATGTTAAGTTTTTTTTTTCATTTTTTTTATTTTTTCTATATTTTTCATGTAGTTGCTTGTATAGTTTTTTCACCATGACTTTTGGTGAGCGTGGATACCGATCAAAAAAGTCTTTAAAAATATTAAAAACTTTCATCAACCCTATATAACTCTTAATAACTCTTCATAACTCTTTATAAAAATTATTGTAACTTGTAAGCATTTTCTAAAATTCAATAAGCGATTACCTTACCCGTCCAAATATTTCTATTTATATCATTTAAAACTCTTATAAAATTTTTATTAACTCTTAAAAATCATGGTACGAAATCCGAACATTTCGACGGTCCCCACGAAGAGTAACACGTTTGTGTGTTAATTTAAATGGAAACGTGTTACTCTTTGTGGCGACCATCGATTTATAAGAATTTTTAAGACTTATTTAGACTTTTAAAGAGTTTTTAAGAGTTTTTAAGAATTAGAGTGACGCTGAAATTTCCGTAGGGGCAATACATAAAAAATATGTTCATATAGGAAAACCCACGTCAAGCGTGAAATGTCAAAAAAATGCAGTAGAAACTAGGGTATTTAAGGTAATTCCCAGTTGCTGAACAGTTAGTAGTCGAGTTGCAAGATATAGGGCGTTTTCAGATTGTCACGAAGTGGTCACTTTACCGACCAGCTGATTTGCCTGGAGGAACAACAAACCGCGCGCCCCTATACTTCCCGTGTTAAATTAGCTTGTTAAAAGTACTTGTAATTAGTTCATAATCAAGTAAAAAAATAAACAAAAAATATCTGGAGAAAGCCGAAATCCTCGTGTATCGATATATCGAAGCGGTTTTTAATTAAAGTCTTTAGTTTGTAAATTAAAAAATATTGAAATTTCAGTTTTTTTGTCTGAGATATTGTCAATAATCTCTATTAAAATGATTATTAAATTTGCTTTTTCGGGTTGCAATACAAAATCTCAAGCAGGGAAATTTTATTCTTTGAAGTTACCGAGGAAAAACTAAGAAACAATCGTAATTAAGAATATTATCTTTCCACCAACAGCAGACTTGGGTTGGAAGACGATTGCGAGATGATTTTCATAATTTTTCGGAATTACGCTTCTTTCTTAGTTTTTCGTTGGTCATTTGAAAGAATAATAACTTCCCCGCTTCAGATTTTGTATTGCAACCCGAAAAAGCAAATTTAATAATCATTTTAATAGAGATTATTGACAATATCTCAGACAAAAAAACTGAAATTTCAATATTTTTTAATTTACAAACTAAAGACTTTAATTAAAAACCGCTTCGATATTTCGATACACGAGGATTTCGGCTTTCTCCAGATATTTTTTGTTTATTTTTTTACTTGATTATGAACTAATTACAAGTACTTTTAACAAGCTAATTTAACACGGGAAGTATAGGGGCGCGCGGTTTGTTGTTCCTCCAGGCAAATCAGCTGGTCGGTAAAGTGACCACTTCGTGACAATCTGAAAACGCCCTATTGGAATTACAAACCACCTAGTGAGCTTATTAACAAACATAAGCCACCCACAGGGTACAGTTTATCCCTTATAAAAATTTTCTATAGGATCCCGCAAAATTCCTACTGGAATCTTATAGGACCCCTGTAGGAATTTTGCGGGATACTATAGGAAATTTATGTAAGGGATGTCTAAAGGTAACATTAGAGACCCTTTAAAATAATTTTCAAGTAGAAATGATAAAGAAATCAAAAGATAAAGATTGCATGCTCAAGTAACGCAGTCATTGGACATATGCAAAATGCTACCTGTACGGCTGTCCAAAAGTAGTCAAACTAGTAGCTGGACACCCTTATAAAAATTTCCTATAGGATCTCGCGAAATTCCTACAGGAGTCCTATAGGATTCCAATAGGAATTTCGCGGGATCCTATTGGAAATTTTTATAAGGGCACCCTTCGACTCTTACTGCGCTCGGTCTCCGCTTATGTTAAAAATTAATTAAGTAAGCCGAATTAATAATGAAATTGATTTGAAAAATGGTAAACAAAGAAACAAACTATAAAAGACTTTTATTTAAACATAAAAAATATGAAAAACTATCTGAATCATGAATTTTGATGTTGAATTTGATGAGGACTTCAAATTTGTAGTCATGAATCATATTTTGAATCTCAAAACTCCTTTTATATAATGAAATAGCATAAAAGTTCAAAAATAGAGTTGTTTGAGTCCACTGAATCGGCCAGAATTGAAATTTTTTATGAAAGACCTAACTTTTCCTACAATTTGGTCATCGGCAGACTAGACACATTTTGACAGCAGGCAAAGCAAAGGATAAAAAACATGGTTTTACTCTGATTTGAAATAGAAATTTTAACCAAGAATTGAACTGGAAATCTACGTTAATTGGAATATAATTAATTCCCCGTGCATTAACCTGGAATTTAATTTTTAAAATATAACCTCTTTAGTTTGTCCAAAACTTAAGGCGCCTTTTATAAAAATTTTTTCAATCAGTTAAAATTGTTTTAATTTTCTTTTATTATAGAAAATTTTAAAAATATTTTGGCTTTTCATCAATTATTTGAAATAGTACTTTAAATTAAATATCAGTTTTAATAGAGGCTTCGACGAAAAGCAATCAAATAATCAAATAATGTATAAAAATTTGATTATCAAAAATTGTTCTGCAATTTAGGCCAAGTTAAAAAAAACGTTGATATCCATATAATTATTATGCGTGTATGGTTTACTCGAGAATGAACTTTTCACTTGGTAAAGTCATATTTTTCTGGCGGATGTTTTCAAGATACGAATGACACGTTGATTTTTAACTTATCTACCAAGGTAACACAGGCACAGTGAAAAAATTTCAGTTACTAAAACCGGACCTAGTGGACTTTATGTTTTTGGGTTCGCTAGATCCAAATCCGTTGTCGGTTTTTCTGGTTTGGCTCATTTTATAAGTCAACTGAAGGTCAAATTAAGGAAAAGTGGTGAAAAGTTCTGACCTTCAAAGTTATATTTAAAAGTCAAACTTAATAAATTCGATATAAAAATCCGAAAAATCACATACCATTCACCTTTAAAATGACCTTGAAAAAAAGCAAAAGGCACATTCGAACGTAACATTTTTCGCTCTTCATAAATTCTATAATAAAAAATTTATGTTTGCATTAAAAAATCTTTTTTTGGTTTATTAAAATTCGTCGGATATTGTATTTTCATTTTTCTACACCCTAATTCTGAAAGATTTCAAGAACTAAAACATACATTTTTTAGGTTTTTATTACAATTTTTTTCAATTTAGATCTCAGATTTGGATTCAGCGACCCCTAAAACATAAAGACTTTTACGTCCGGACTTCCCTTATAAAAATTTCCTATAGGATCTCGCGAAATTCCTACAGGAGTCCTATAGGATTCCAATAGGAATTTCGCGGGATCCTATTGGAAATTTTTATAAGGGTCTGAAACTGAACATATTTTTTGTTGGCCAGCTGTGTATAATTAATTATCTATGAGATTGTTTTCGTGAAACCTAGTGGATATTTCAAATATTCTCGTGAATTACTTAAAATTCTACCAAGTCTTTTCGGAAAGAAATCAAAAATGCTTTAAGTATATCTTTGTGCGCTGGCAAGTTGAAAATCCACGAGCTAATTTTCACGCAAAACCTCGTGAATAATTCAATATTCTCACGAATGAATATCTCCGAGTTTTTCATATCCTGGAATGATGGATATCATGTCTGATCCTCGAGGAAATACCACGTGTTATCAAGTGGAATTCGCATGAATGCGAAATTTTTGAATTCGAGCCCCACTAAAAAAGGAAAACCATATTATCGCCATACTTACTGCGCGAAAAAGGTTTTTTTGTTGTTTCATGAATAATTATGTTTTAAGAAAATATCCTCGAAGTTTTATGAAAAACTATCTGTAGTAAGCAGTACTGACTTGATATTGCAAACTTGTTCCAATTCTGTTCAAAAAGATGCTCTCTACACACACTCAGTCGATAACAAATACGTAATTATTTTATACCCATTTTTTTTATTCTCTGGGCAACCATTAAACTTGAAATTTCGTGGGAGATATTATGAACCTTATAAAAATGTGCCTATGTCGTCAGTTTTCAATTAAATGACCGGTACTTTCAAACAAACTTGATTTTCTATTATCCTCCTTTTATAACCTAAAAAGCAACATATTCTCAAATAATTAGTTAAAATGATTTCATTAAACATTTTATTGAAATCTAACGACATAGGCACATTTTTCTAAGTTTCATATTCCCTACAACGAAATTTCAAGTTTAATGTTCGTCTAGAGAATAAAAAAAAAGAGTACAAAATAATATCGGTATGTCGGTATTTGTCCCTCCGTATAAGAGGAGCCTTTAAAGGCTATCTCTGATTTCTTCATGTCCTTCTTGAATTGTAATTGTATTATCGAGAACCGAGCCCCAACCACAGAATAAAGATTTTATAACGAGCCGCTGAACCATATTATGGAACAAGTCTGAATGTTTTATACGTTAGCGCATTACTTATTTACTCACAGTATATATTTAAATCTTTTTTACTTTTCGCTTTTTTGCCAAAAAATATCGTTTTTATTATTTTTAGACTCTACTTTCAACGTTAAACATTGCAATTACTCTGAAGTTACAACATTTATTTTGATTATTTGGATTTTCCGGTTTGCAACATCAGAATGAAAACCAATTGCAACTACGTTTTACAAAATCAAGTGATGGCTAGATCCTGCAAATGTTCAGTTTCAGTAACTTCTTGTGATATTGAGTTAATTAAAAAGTACCCCGACAAATTTTTAAGTCTCATGATGTCCATTATGAGATGCCATGAATTGAAGCAGAACAAATTTTGGAGTTTTGAGTACAAAAAAAAGTTGAAATACTTGGTGCTTTATTGCAAACCCTCAGAATTTATTATATATTTAATTGAACAACTTAAAATGGCCAATTTATTCTACTTTTATTTTATTTTTGATCCACTGGAAATAAGCATATCAACTTGTCAGAATCATAAAATTAAAATAGACCTTGCAATCATCCTGGTTCAAAATGCTTTTCAGTTTTTGCCAGTAAAATGTGATGTCAATAATAGCAGATATTGTGGTAATATTTGCGATTATATTATACTAACAGGTATCAATGTATTATCTTTTTTAAATAATTTAACATTTATTTACTTTGATTTTGATGAGCACAATAAGATTCCACTCAACTATAAAAATATTATTGTGTTAATAGTCATTTTTGTATTTGGCAAACTCATGATACATATAAAAGCAAATAGAATTTATTACAATGAAATATTCAAACAAGTATTTCGAATTATAAACAAATTTTACAAAAATCTAGTACATATATTTAAAATCTTCAATTACCAAAAATGTGCTTTTTCATCATTGGTACATAGTCAAAAATTTTCATACTTATATGAAGATTTCAATAGTAACGAAGTCAATTTATGTGTCATGAATTTCTTTTGGTTTACTTCTTTAAGCATTGATATAGATATTCCTTGTGTCTATAGTCCTGTATATATAATTTACAAATATATGCAATTGTCAATTAAATTTATAGATATGTCACAAGATATCACTACTCTAACTAAAGCTCTTGATTTGATTGACTATGTATTAAACAAAAATGAAGTTCAAATTCCTCATGAATTTTTAGACTTATCAATTCATGATAATTTGACAGTAAATCTTTCAAAACTTATGTCAAACTGTAAAGTACCAGGTATACTAAAATATACTTTAAAAATTCTTAAGAAGTATGTTAATAGTTTTGAAATCACTGACAGGTTCAAAATTATAAAAAGATGTTTGAAGTTTGATTACGAGTCTAAATTCAGAACATTTATAATCACATTACTTAAAGATAATATAGCACAAGTACTATCAAATCATAAAACTATCTATTTAAATAGTTCCTATAATATTTTACAAATTTATTTACCAATACTATTACCATTAATTTGTGATAAAAATATCAGTATTAAGATTAATATTTTTGATAATCCTGATTTTACACTTACAATCTTAAACTTCATTCTATTTATTGCAATTAAACGTAAAGTTTTTAATAAATCTGTTTATATTGATAATAATACTGTTGAATTTTTAAATCTAATTGATTCAATTATAAAAGGAAATAAGCACAATATACAAAATGAAATAGATATTTTAAAAAACGAAAGTAATTCTGTAGGTGTTGAAAAACAAATTTTGCAAATGGAAAACAAACAGAAGTTATTACATCATTATCAGTGCTTGAATTTTTGTTTGTTAGTTGAAGATGTATTGATTAGAATATACAATGCCTTAAATTCAATTCTAACTAAATAAATAAATGTATTTATAATTTTTTCAATAAAAATTTAATATTTTGTTAAATTGTATGTGGTATCCATTCCAATCCGTTTCTCAGAATTAAATTTGAAATTAGAATTTGGTCAAAATGAAAATAATATGAGTTTATGAATAAAAAAATGGATTGTGATTGGTGATTTAGCCCTGTTTGGCCTGTTGACGAAATCCTGTTTTGAAGTTTTAAATTTACTCTCTCATATGGTATAATTCGATATAGAATGAAAAAAAAATTACTCTAAATATGATGAAAAATTTACGTTGGATATAATCATCAATCGAATTTTAAATTAAACAAGTGTTGAATTTTTGTATACATATGCCCCACTCCCTACTTCAACGCTTCACTTATATTAACTATGGTGGTAATATGCTCATATTATTTTAAAATTCTACAATTCTAAAATCTATTTAATATTTTAATATTTAAAATAATGTTAAAAAAAGAGTCAGTCAGATAGTGTCTTTTGTAAAAACACTATCATTTATTTATCAATTACATTTTGCTTTTCTTTTATTAAATTTCATAATTTTTTCTATTTTTATGTATTATTTTTCATTCATTTTATGGAATTTTATTATGTGGCACATACTCAAGAGGTGATTGTCCAAAGTACATTTTTGGTTCGCCTTTGACAGGCTCATTTTGCAAGTCAGCATCATTTTTGAAACCAGAGTCGCTACTTCCGTTTTGAACGACAAAGTTTTGCGATGGCGTCTTCGATGTCGATCGTTGAGCTTTCTGAATTTCAGCTATAGCACGCTCATGTAACGAAGTTTCGCGCAATAATATCTCATATAATTGAACTCCATTTACTTGTCCTGAATTGGCAGCAAACATTAGTTTTTGTAAAGAGTTATGAAGAGCTGCAAAGATGACGTCACCGCTTTGACAATTTTCATTTGAATTTTCTTGGTTGGAACTTGAACAGTTTTGATCTATAATTAAATATTTGATCAAACTTTCGACTTGCCACGGATATAAAAAAACATCGGTAAATAATTAATTAGTTTTATACCTTGTTCCTTGTCCTTTGATAACTTAGTAATTTGTATTTGATTTGGAGGAATTTCAACTAATTCCAATTCTGGTAATTGCATAAATTCTTCATTGTCAGTATGATTATTTAAAAGCATCATTTGTCGTTGAATTGATTGTATACTAGAGACCAGAATTTCTTGAAATTGCGTATTATCTCGGCTATGTCATTGAACCATAATGAAAATTATGGTTATACTTGAGAGCAAATTGATTGAAAATATAACAATGATTAAATAACTTACATAAAACCGGACCAAACGAGAACTACAATAGTTACAACAGTAATGATAATTAACATTAAGTAAAATAACATATTAATTTTTTGAATTTAGAAATTTGTACCACACTTGAAATTGTCACTTGGTTTGATTTTTCGTTATATTAGTGTTAACTTGATTATTAAAGGATTCATTTCAAACAGTAGAATGTGCATTTTTTGATTCTTACAGCTAATTTCAAAGAATATGATGTAAGAATTGCTATTGAGAAAAATATTACAAAATAGAGGTACTGCATTTAAAAATGATAAAAGTAAATATATATAAACTAAACGTTGTATTTTATATGTAAAAATCAAATCATCAATTTTAAAATAGAATGTAATATTGAAATGAAAAATTTTAATTTAATCAAAGAACAAGTTTTTATTCCACTTATGATACTATTGTAGTTCATAAATACACTTTACAAATGTTGCATATTTTGTTGACAATATATAATTTAATAGTTAAAATTTTTTTCGTGACATAAACGCTTTAATTTTTAATTATTTTCATTTCAATAACACTTATTGAAAAACGCAAGACTAGTACCATAGCATTCTATTATCACGGTTGCTATGGTCTTCTTATTGTTTACGCCTAACGCAAAATCTCTAATATGCTATTGTGTGCATTTAATCGTATAGTAAAAATAAAAATTAATGACACAACAAAACGTATGAATTTTATGATTTTTGCAATTATTCCCATAAATTATGCGTGTTGCAGGATTTACTCATAATCTTTCAACAAAAAATGTTCAATTTATTATCAAATTCTAATTTAATATTTTACAGTTTAAAAAACTTTAAATTTATGCTCATCCTGTAAATTTAACACACTTGCACAAACCTACATATTTTTGTATGTATAAACATGCTTATAAATTTACACTCACTTATACATACATATATGTATTTAAGTTACTCACTTAGAAATTTTTCAAAATTGATTGTAGAAAACAGGTAGCTTTGCAAAACACTTCTTAAAATTTTTAATAAAAAAAAAAAAAAAACAAAATGCATAGTCATTGTGCATCTTTTGTAACCAATCGAGAAATGCATGTTTAGCATTTTAACCATACAAACTAATCTTTTCTTGTTATCTTCTTCACAATAATAATTCATACATTCAATAATTAATTAAATCAGTTTTCTTCTTCTTCTTCATCCTCTTCTTCATCGTTTTGAACGTGTACAAATACTCGTCCTGTTAAACCTGCATCAAGTAGTGTGAGATCTTTGAAGTTGGGATATATTTCTTTGAAATTGAAACTCATGATGCGAAATGTATTGGGAGACTCTGGTTGACCATATATCCATTCATAGATATTCTGTAATCAAATATTTGAGTTTAATAATAACTTCAATAACAACTTGAATAACATAATATTAAATGCAGCTTACCTGTACTTTACAAGTAGAAGGAAACCGTCTTGTTATTTTTTGTCCAGCAACACAAGTCTGAATGTGACAACAAGAGGGATCATTCTTAGGAGGTTCTTCTAATAGATTCTGTAGGCACTCTTCCTTATGAAGTCTTATACGTTCCAACATAGCTTCTTGTTCCATTTTCTCAGTACGCTCTCGTTCAGCCTGCCTTTTAGATTCATTTTCTTGCTGTAAACGTATGCGCTCTTTTTCTTGATCAGCCTTTAATGACAATTGGTAAGCATCGTCTTGCTCCTGTCTGAGTGTAGCATTAACTTGTCTTTGAGCTCGTTCATGACGCTCTGTGCTCAAACTTGACTCATATTCCTCAGTTAATTCTTGCATTCTTCGTATCATTGTGGATGACTGAACCAATCCAACCATTCTGAAAAAAATATGATATTCTATTATTTCACGTACTCTTATTTTCTGAGGGTATTTTATTAATTATTATTGATTGAGAATTCACTTTAAAAATCCGTGAAAAGTCCCTACTGCTCAAAATTTATGCGATATTGAAAAAAACTGCCACTCTGTCGGTTGTTTCAGCAGAATGTAATCGAAACTGATAACTTACAAATGTGATGAAAGAGCTGTTTCTCTTTCGAGAGTTCTGCTCGAACTGAACGAATCTTTACAGCGCCGGACGATCTAACTTCTCTTTAACACGTGTAGGAGGCATGTGTACGAAAAAATAAACAAAGAGGAATTTGAAAAAAAGTGGGGGTAGAGGGCTCTGTGTATCACTGGATTTTCAAATGAAAGTCAGTGAGTTACGATTGAACAATTACCGAGTGCATTCATTTAAAGTCATTTAAAGTAAAATAAAAATTAGCAAGAATGTCCATTTTGAATAGTAGTAATTTGTCAATCATTAAGTTTAATTTTCAATATGCTACTTGGCGATAGATGAATAAAAAAATACATTGTCTTATTTTTTAATGAATCTCAAGCGATATTTCAGGTTTTTCGAAAAACAAACCAATCTAATAGAAAACAATGTTAAAAATGGTTATGTGAATTTTTAATCTTCATCATCTGCAGACAAAAAATTAATTAGAGTGATTTACAAAAGGATATTTTATATTCGTAAAATGTAATATACATTATTTTAGCCTAGGGAATTTTTCTGTATGACAACACGTTAAATTATTTTACGGTTACTTATTTGTACCGCATTAATATCGTGTTTTAAGTCTCCGAAACTAACCAATAAATTATTTTTTTCATTTTCGTGTAACTAAAGGTACCCTATTCGATTTCGAAGTACCAAAAAAACTAAAATCGCCGAGTCAAAATGAAAAAAAAAAACCAATACCTACAATTATTTATTGCTAAAAGTCATAACTGAAGCGTCTTATATGTTCTTATTTTCATGCATTTTCAACCAAACTTTTCTAAATTTTACGTGAAAATTATTGTTTCACGATTGCAACTATTATTTACGAAGTAGTAACAAATAACAAATCAAAATAAAAAATCAAACTGGTAATAACAATTAAACTTGGTTAAAGCTTTGTACTATCAGAGCTTTAGTGATTTAAATGAATATACTTCATGATTCAGAAAAATAACCTATTTAATTATTGCAAGTCAATGAATAATTCAATCGAAAGACCGATCTAAAATGACGATTAAGTTTTTGTGTATGAAGTTATTTACAAATTTACAATATTTAGAAAATTGCTGTCATTTTAATTAAAATATTATCTCAATGATTTGACTTCAATAGAATCAAAGCATGAGTAATGAAAGGCTGAGGCAAAATTGGGGCCAATAAACACATGGAAAGGGGCATGTCACATAGCCATAGGCTAGTTTACCATCCATTCCCCATGAACAAAGATAACCTTTATCTCATTTTTGCCAAAAGGCCAAAAATTTTTCTTACATTTACTAGAGCATCAAAAAAATAAAATTATCCATTTCCTGACAGTGAAGTACTTTTAAATTACCATGCGTTACAAAATCAAGTAAAATTAATTTAACAATCCACATAAGATTTAGATAAAAAATCAATCATTTATAATAAATGTGTTCCAATTTACAATTTACACGAAAAATGAAATGAAAAATTATCTATGATCTTTAATACTTGACACATTTATTTTTCTTAAAAATTGATATTGAAATATTAATTGATTGAATTAAAAAAAAAAAAAAAAATTAAACAATTTTTCATTTACATCAACAATTTCATAAACCTTTTCCAGAATAAAAATAAATTTGAATGCCTTGTCATGAAAATGGCAAGAAGTTGTTTGAAATTTTGAGTGTAATTTTTTTTATAATTAACAAAAAATAGTGTCATAAAAAATCAAATAATTCTTTACTATTATTTTTTGTTCAAAATTAACAGTATAATAAAATGGATTTTTATGAAAATTCAATCAGAACAAATAAATAAGCACTTACTTTCCAACAATTGTCATTTTATGTTCCTTTAATACTATTGTAGCCAAAAAAGGGTAGGTGCCAACTCTAAGAGCTTCTGCTACTTTATAGCCCTCTCCAGACTTTATATTACATGCCCAAAACAGGGTATTAGTGTTTATAAATCTAATAACTTCAGGATCTCCAAGAGTGTTTCTGTAATATAAATAGTGTATGGTTGTAATGATTGATTCAAGCTCTTAAAATGTAATAAGTATACAAGTAAATAAATAAACTTATTTTATAGAGTAAAGAATACCAAAAGTCAATTATCAAGCTTATATTACCTGCACCATTGATCAACTTCTTGTGATTCGTCTTTGTGTAGATATACTAAAAGGAAACGTAACTCTTGTTTAGCATCAGACAAAGCTTGACTGTATGAGCCCTGATAAAACACAGGATGATTTGTACCAAATTGTTCTTCATATGACCTGATAAAGTTTACAACATCTTGTACAGGGTCTAATGAAACTAAGAAAAGACCCTTAATTAGTAAATTTGAAACAAAATGAATTAAAACAATTAAATGGTAAGGTTGTAATTTACCTGGTCTTACATTTCTCCTGAATAATGTAAATATTAATTGGAATATACTAGTCACAACATTATAACATAATGACATAAGATATGAAAAAAATCCACCACTATTAGGACTTCCTTCTGGACTAAAGTATATTCTAGCATTTGCTTCATCAACAACTGTGGGTGGTCGTAGCCGGGAATCTTGCGCATACATAGATGGTCTACCTTCAAATAAATTTAATTGTTCCTGAAACGTCATTATTATAATTATTGAAAAATACTCAAATTTTATCCTGAATGGTTTTACTTATTTAAAATGTATTTTATCATCAAACCTGTACTGCTACTTCAAGATTCCAATTGTGACGCAATAAAACATCTCTACATACTGCAAGATCTTCATTGCCAGTTAGATCCTAGGAAGGTACAAAAATGATGTAAGTAATAAGTTCATCTTTCGAAGCAGAATTCATCACATCATAAAAAATTTTTATTTACTTGGAATTGTAGTACTTTTTCAATTTGTTCTCCTGTGAGATCACCAAGATCGAAATCGCCCATGATTTTAAATTACTTGAAGTATTAAAATCAAATTAACCACGTTTACGCTAAAAACGTTCAACAGAAAATGGAAAATCGCTTGTGATCCAGATTCTTCTTTGCCCCGCTCTGTTTCTACCTTTTTCTCTCGTTTGTGATGCCGTTGTTATAAGGGTAGAAGTAGCAGTATAAGTAGCAAGTCCAATACGTGAAGTTTTCACACAAGCAAATGCACGATTGTTTCGACTGCAGCATCAGTAGGAGCAAAACAATGATTTCAGTGAAGGAAAAACTGGGCTCTCGCGAGAATCGTAACCTCGAATCAAGCGCAGCCTTATTGCTAGGAAAACGGGTCTCGATCCAACTGTCTATGATTTCAACAGGCTGCATATGAGTTATGAGTTGTTGTAGCACATAGACATGCACTTTGTTATTTCGCACTTTCAATATTCAAAACTTTCATGACTCTCCAAAAAGACAACTCAGCATTTTTCCAACCGAGCAATATGCGCGATACGATATGTAATGTTTCTAGATTATACGATGAATTCGCAGTGACTGGTATGGTTTTGGTACTCGTAACAATGATTGCACTTATTATTATACACACGGAGCACGACACTTTCTTCTCTTCTGCAAATGCGATTACTACACCAATCTAGGATGTCTAGTCGGATATGGGCCAAGTAGATGCAAATAACGAAACGTAGATTTCAGGGTAAGAAAACTGAATATCTGCAGTAGCATCCAAAACAAGTCCGTTTAATGCCCCAACACCGCTGTCCGCTTCCAGTTAGTTAGCTGCTATCTCATATAACGTCCCCGCATGTGTGCCACCGCAATATCGCAACGATCGCAATTTCGCAATCACCATAGGCCGCAGGTAAACAACGCTGCTTACACATTACACTTTTGAGCGAGTAAATCAGCCAAGTGACTTTACCGACACTAGCGACCATATGTATGTATATCAAGTGCGTGTGTTGAGTGCAACAACCATAGTGCCCGCCACAATATTTTTGAACTATCAAAAAAGGTTATGTCAGTTAAAAACGTTGTTGAAACTTGAGAAGTTGTAAGAAACCACTTCTTGATCTAATTTGGCCAAAAAATTATTCCGTTCACAGATATGAAAATATTTCTTGCTTTACATTGATAAGATCCGTCCAGACTGTCTACAACCATGTCTGTGGCACCGATGGGCAATTTGCCGTGAGTTTTTCCAACTTTACATGATTGTTTACTTGCGAATTTTAAAAACAACTGAAAATGCAAAATTAGGCACATGGTGTGCATTATATCAACAAAATTCACTTGTTACATTTATTCTTTTCATCAAATACTCCTTGTATCAATCATTTTTCAGTTTTTTTACTAACATAATATTTCAATTGAACATTATAAGTTGATGAAAAATGTTGAAAAATATACATCCTTGCAAATTTTATGATCGCATTTGAAAATAAAATATTAATTTGAATTTTTATAGCTACTGCAAAGGTCTGTGGTCTGTAATATCTGGAACTACTTGTCGCTGTGATAAAGCACTTGTAGAAGATGAGATTAAAAGTGCTACTGCGATTCTTCAAGATGGTTTGTCTTATTTTAAAACATATACAGAAGAATCTTTGCAAGCAGTTAATAAGACAAATCCTCCTCCTAAGATGTATGACCTAATTAGCAAATTAGCTCCTCTTTTGGTAAGCATATATAAATTGAATTTCATTAATAATACATAGTTGATTAATTACGCATTGTTTTTTTTAGAATTTGGATGCAAAAATAGCTTGGGATTTAGTATGCAATTTTATGATTTATGAGTATCGCAATTGTCCAGAAACTTTTGCATCTCAACTCACAGATTTATCTACTATGCAAGCTCTCATAGAACAAATCTGGAATTTTTACTACACAGAACGCATAACTCTAGTAAAGTGCTTGAAGTTAATGGTTGAATACCGCGAAAATGATTCTCATCCTCACAAAAGTCATTTTGTTAAATTTTTTGATGAAGTTCTATTCATGGAACTTTTGGAATCAATCCGTAAGCAAATAGAGGCTTTAAAATATATAAACCCACCTACTCGATCACAGTTATTCACAGAAGAACATCAGTATCAACTTTATAATAGTTGCCTGATTGAAATGAGAGAATTATTGCACATTTTTACTATCATTTTACATGAAGTACATGTTGCTGAAAATCAATTTGTAAATATTTATGGAAGTATTAGTGGGGAACCACGCCGACTCACAAACAGTCAAAGTCATGAAGAAAAAGAAGCTGTTAAAAAAAAACTTCAAGAAATTCAATACAGTCAAGCTGCATTACTTATTGTTGGCTTAGACATGATGAAACATACTGGAATGGAAGATTGGATTAGAGAGGTACGCTGCAGTATGGAAGACGTTTTGCAGAATAAATGTGTCAGAGATCCTACTTCACAAGATGGTCCTCTCATGTTGGCTTGGATGCTAGCCAACTATGCAATTGATCCAGATAATTCAGAAACGTTTATGCGATATAGAGTTTATGGTGTCAAAGCAATACATTTAAATGTATTTTATTATTTACAACAAATGCTTGATTCGGAAATGATAAAAGAAAAAACACAATATGCTACAACTGTTAGGGGCAGCATTTATAATTTACTATCCTTACTCTGTGCTTTTGTCGATGATGAAAAATTCGATATCTTTCCAGGTGTGTGTAATTATTAAAATAGATTTTTTTTCAGAAATATCTCATGATTTATCATACTTTATTTCAGGTATTTTTGAAGCATGTGCTTCTACTCTAAGTTTCCCTGAGTCTGCAGAACGTTTTTGGAAAGAAAAAGAAGAAGGAACTGGCTTATGGCCTATTATAAAATATTCTATGCTCTGGTTCCCGTATCGATTTGAACCGTTGACAACTATAATTACTGGACTATCAAGAGCATCTTCTTTTAGTGCCAAAAAAACTCTTGGTCTCATTGAAAATCTTCCATCTATAGCTTTAGAAATTAATAGAAATTATTTGAACAGTAATATGCAATGCAGGCCTTACGATCAATGCTTTATTCATCAGAATACCTTTACCATTCCATCCAAGTGTCAGTTTATGAAAATGCATCGAGATAATGGCAGAGCTGACTGCGAATTGATTGTTTTTAAAATAAAGGCTAGCTTTTGGGATGCTTTTCACCATAAAATCGAATTATTACTACATCAAGCCAGTAGAGGGATTGCAAACTTAGTCACGGAAAATAATGTACTCCTAGATCAAGTTCAATTGGGTTTTGGTCTGTTAGAAGCACTTTTATCTGCAGAAGTAGATGTATCTTCTGGCATGGTGATTCCTACAGAGTTGAGTTTTGAAGTTGTTCATCGTTTTTCTTATCCTGTTTTGCCTGTTAATATATACAAGGTATAAATTTATTTTATTAGTAAAATTCAATAATGTTAACTCCTTAAATAATGTTTCAATTTTTTAGGTAGTAGCAGCATCTTTCAAGGTTTCATCGAAATTAGTATTACGCTATCCGGAAGACGTATTATCACGCATGCGATCGGGTGTTTATCCGCGTTTCGATGATCGCTATCAGCAAACAACTGAATTTGCTCAAGCAGTCGCTTTTGATGGTGGTCTTGTAGCCTCCTGGTTATCGAGTATCGAAACAATACAACATGCCTACCCGATCCTCGATGCTTACATGGATACTTTGTCGGATTACTTAGAACTGCGCCATAGCAAAGAAGCTCTCTATAATATTGAAATTCCGGGCATGATTATGTTGCTGCAGAGTGTTTTACCAAAATTAGATTCATGGTATTTTCGTTCGGAACTCGAGAGAGTTGAATTGTGGATGAAATGTGTAAAATGCTTGCATCGATCTTTGGATGTTGTTATTGGAAAAAAGGACGAAACACGTAGTGAACTCAGAAAAATTGTTACATATAATTTGATGCATTTGGAGCCAAGACATGCACTGTTAAAACTCGTAAGAACTGGTGAAAAAACTCTTAGAAACAGAATGTTAGGAGAAACTGACTGGATAGCTGGTAAAGGTTTCAAGGTAAATTATATTGTTGACGTAAATCACAAAATAATTTATAATTAAACTGTAATTTATAATTTATAATTTAATTAACAAATTTTTTCAGGTAATGAAAACTGTACAGTTAGCATTGTCCGTTGTAAACCGCTTGTTGATGTATCGTAAAAATTTGGGTTTTAATGTCGACGAACGCTCACCCCTAGAATCAGCACTTTATGCTTCACCATCTCTACCCAATGCTTTACTCATTGTTCCAACAATTGTTGATTACCTTTATGTCTGGTTTAGTCCGGCATTGCAAGCCATGGCTGTACGTTTATTGAAAAAATTTGCGGAAGGATTATCAATGTCGTTGCTAGTCTGTATGGGGATGGATGGTACAGCCATCAGAGAAACTTTTGCTTCAAGGCTTATGTCTCCTACTTGTGGAGCAGAAGTCAAAGTAGCTATACTTGAACTCGTTACTGTTTGTCTGGATAAACAACCTGGTTTGTGAAATAATTTTACGATACAATATTTTTTAAAAGTAAAATTAACTTACATGAGTTATTATTTCTAGGTTTAACTGAGGCAATGTTTAACATAATGCATCAAGCCGAACGTCGCAGAATATTCCCTCGACCAGCCGATGAATTTCTCACTGAAGGCTGCACTCGTTTTCTTGATCTATATCTTAAACGTGTGCAAAAGGAGGACGATATAATCTACGATCGGTTATACGATAGTACCATGAACTTGCTACGAGCTATGTGGCATCATCGTAATGAAATTTTAGTCAACTTTTTCCGTAAAAGGCCAGAATTCTGGAGTAAACTTTTTGCACCATTGCTCCGTAAGTTAGTGCCAGGTGTCAAAGGATACTCGCAGTTGTTAGATATTATAACTATCGAATTATTCAAAAGTCCGTCGTTCGAAAAAGATTTTACCATGAATTTGGATATACTGTTAGATGACAAATCAAACCATTGGGACAATTTGGTTAAGTATATTTTTGATAGTATTCCTCCTCCACCGCCGAATCAAACAAACCAACAAGATGAAAAAATGGATGATGGCGAAGACGACGAATTAGTTCTATGCGAAAAAGAAGCATCAATGAAACCCTTATACGAAACTAATTTAGAATCATGGTACCAAATGATGGTTGTTTTGACAAGTGAACGTACGAGCCGAAATCATTCTGTGAGTCCTCGGCAAGCCAAGCTCACCACTGGTTTAGTCTTGGATCAACTTCTCATTCGTTTAAAGGTGATACCTCCAACATCGAAACGAGCTCGTTTGAGCGCAGGAAAGTTAACGATGCTTCTAGGTTCTATAGCTCTTCGTTGTTTGAACTCATGGAAATCCAAATGCATGGGCTCTGATACTAGTAGTTCAGATGATTTGAAAAACAAACTAGTGGAATCAATGCAAGAAATTAGTCAAACCTACCGCGCCTACGGTAAAGGATTACGACAGACTTTAATATCATTACTTCTTCACTGGTTAGATCTTGTAGAAGATTCTTTAATAAATGATGAGGCTATGCTAGAATATCTTCTTGGTCAAGCATGTATTTTGGCCTGCGGAGATATTGAGCAACTACGTGAATCCGCCCGTATTCGCGACAAAAAGCGCAAACCCTTTGACAAAGATACAGAACCTGAAAGACTTGAGGCTGAAGAAGTGGCCGCCGTCTCTGAATGTGTACCTGCTACTCTGACAGTCTGCTTGGTAACACGTTTACTGAGATTCAAAATAGAACGCAGTAAAACTAATAGGTGTAAGCCAGCAAATACGTTGTTGCGACAACTCTTGCCTGAACTGTTAATATGTCTTGGTATCACCCTTCAAAAACATGCATACATGAAATTTAGCAAAGCTGCATTAATGCTACTGAGCGTTATCACAGGCTCATTTTTTGGTCCATTACCGATAGATGAGGAATCTATAGCCAAATTATGGCTTGCTCTCATTCCGCCTAAAGATATTAAAAATAGTTTGCAGGATTCTCTGTACGAGGTAAGGAGTCAAATTTATGAACAATTAATTTTCATTATTTTTATTGGCTTTAAAAAACCGATTTAACAAAATGCTATTAAAAACAATCAGAACCTTACTTTAACATACATGCATACAATGCATGATATGTAAACTTTTGGAACTATTTTTTTGAACATAAATTAATCTTCAACCATAAAACTAATTCAATATTCAATGTTTGTATTATTCTAGTTTTACATGTATTTTCTAAAAGTTTAGAGAATATCTAAATGCTAATAACAAATATTTCAAAAGTATTCTACACTCTAAACCCAAAAGAGTAATTTTCGAACCTCAAAAGAGTAATCTGCGCTATTTACTCTTTTTAAAAGAGTAAATAACACAGTTTAAAAGAGTTAAAGCTTTTAAAAAGAGTAAATAACGCAGTTTACTCTTTTGAGGTTCGAAAATTACTCTTTTGGGTTTAGAGTGTACAATTTTTCTCTTAGAATTATTTCAAATAGATAATATTTAACCTCATGACATCATTTTCTTAACTATTAGGTATTCAAATTTAATAACATTAATAAGATATAAGTGAATTTTATTGACAGTGTTATAAAATAATATTTGAATTGTTTGCATTGAAAACAATTGCATTTAGAATAGTGAAATTAATCTTTTGCTCTCTTATTTTGCTTAAATGTCCAAATATGTACACTTTAAAATTCATTTTACACATGTTTACATTTATTGAATTACGTCCCGCGTATAACGAGGGACTCCTGTACTTATAACAAACTGTTTTGATTATCAATTAATGCATTTTTCTTTTTTAACACTTAAACATGTGATTATAGCTAAACGATAAAAGTTGCAATAATTTCATGGAATTTATTTAATAAGTAATCTAAATACCTCCATTACAGATACTGTGTACAATGGTCTCTTGTTAAATTTGAAAACAATTAATAGTAGAGCAAAAATAACACCTAGAATTACAACCACTTTTTTGCTATTAGAACAATATTTTTCATCACGCTTAAAACCAGTCTTTCTCTGTTAAAAGCGCTTGCTAATTATTATTTTCAGGACTGCCCGAGTAGTCGCAGTAGATGGCAATGCCAAGAATGGTGGCCTTTATATACTGCTGGTCTGGAATTCATCATTGCGTTGATCAATGGCCCAGACTCGAACACGTCCACGCGAATAACTCAGATTGTTCTCTTCCTGGGCTCGCACGAGCATCTGCTTACCGAAGCCTCGACTTTATTGCGCCATACCGCCGATCCGGTGGCTGCCGATTTGATCCTATCGCTCGTCAATCTCATCTCAGCTTTATCTTGCCGGTCCACTTTCTGGAAGTCGTTGCATCTCTCTATAAAGGAATCATTAACGGTGAGTGCCAGTTTTTTTTTTACATTTAGGAATAGTTGTTAATTTTTTTTCGTTTTTAATTAAAAAAATTGAATACCCATGATGGTGAGTTAATGTGTTGAATGGAATTCTTGTTAAAAAAGTACAAAATTAGTCGAAAAATTGAAAAATAAATTACTCACCCGTTATAAAACATTTTAATTTGATAGTTTTATTAAAAGTCTTAATTAAATGGTCGAATTATTTTACAGAAATCCATGTACCTATCTTATGACAGCACAGTTAATTTATTGCTTCGTCCTCGTATCCTAAAATTCATAATCGACGGTATAAGCGTGGAAAGTGCCGAAGAATTACAAAGTTGCGATGAACGACAACTGAGCGCTGAGCTCAGGCTATTGGTTAACAAGCTGATACTCATCAACACCTGTTGTGCTCAAAGTTTTGTACGTTTCTCTCCGAAGCTCAATGCACTTGTTGATAGCATACACGAACAGGAAGATTTTTGGTAATTTTTTTCGCACCGAATATTTTCAAAACTTAGTAAAAGCTAGTAAAGGTAACGAGTATCATTTATTTTGTGCAGGTATGCTCCAATGGCAGAGATGAATTTTGGACCTCCACAAATGTCAATGACTTCAGGACCACGTCTAACTTATGGAGCCATCATCAGTGCAACGCAACTTTTTACTCAAGCTCAATGGCAAGTCATGTTACGAACTTCAGGTGGCTCACATCATCAAATGCAACCTCCACGAACAAAACCTACGAGTCCATCGATACATGGTCGTGATGATCGTATCGATTCAGCTCGACGTGAATGGGAACGTGCTACCCCCGAAAATCTACGTCGTATGCACGCAAAAGATTTGAGGCAAATTCTCAATCCTACTATGTCAACGTCGAGTCTTGGACCTTCTATAATCGCCAGTGGATCATCGTCTAAACTAGACTTTTCTAATTATCTATCTGCACATGATTTGACTGTACCACTGTTAAGTGCCCCGAGATTGATCAAACGTCCGTTCGATCCCTTAATTTGTGAAAACATGATACTTTCGAAAGCAACCGCTCTGGGACCGTTGGGCAGCAGATCTCGCAGAGCTACAAGTCCTGGACCAGCGAAGGTGCTCGATACGTCTGCCAGAGGTCGAAGTCCTGCTAAAGACGGCTCTGGAGCAGGCAATGCAAATGGATCCAGTTGGAGTGATCCATGGTTCGATTCGATGGATGAAAACAATACTAGGCTTGCATTAGAAGTTAATTTAGTTCTTCTCCTTTGTCAAGCATTAGAAGGCGTTAGAAGCCCTAGATTAGCCATAAGAGATAAACAGCTGATAGTCCGAGAAACTGCAACTGAGCTAGGGGTATTCTTTGATTTTCTAGACAATAGAGGATATCTCAATGACTGGTCCGTAAGTGCCAGTTTAGTAGATCCAGAAAATGACAGATGCAGAATTGTATTGGCTCCTGAAGATACGGATCGCCGATTACCGGCAAGACTTGATGCCAAAGCTACCTTTCACAAAGTGCCAAAAATGGTAGCAATGCTCGAAACAATTGACGAAGAACCTCTTGAAGTGTCAAGATCCGAAAGTTATGTAGTTGATGTTATAACGACAGGTTGTTTTCCAATCCGCATAGATATGTCGAAATTTTTGCCTTTGTTAGGAAAATTACTCAAATCGGTTGTCGAATCTTTAGATTCAGCGCAGTTTGGGTGTTAATGCATATTAATGCATGATAGACTCTTTTCCGCAATTTTCTATTTCCGTGATAAATTAATAACGAAGAATTGAAAATAGCAATGAATTTTTTATCATAAAATAATGTCCGAAACTGATATGAAATTATGCGAGTTAACAACAAAAGAGAACTCCATAGGCGTTTGTATGTATTTACTGTTAATACTTGAAATAAGTTGTATTTGTAATTAATTTTTGTTTCCAATAAATAAAATTTTCAATTTTTTAGACTAAAATTTTATGAGGATTGGTTAATGAAAAATTTAAAAAAACTTTAATCGAATATGTTTTTTTTACTTAAAATTTTGGAAAATTTTTTACACTAAGTGGCTGACGGGATATAATTGAAATCAATGCGTGTAATCTTGAATTCAACTTTTTCAATAAGAAAATCACATTTGAAATTATTTTATAATTTTATGGCTATGTTTTAATTAATTCTAGCTTTATACAAAATCTAAATCATTTTAAATTGATCATAAGAATTGGGCGCCAGATAAAGTTAATAACAAATTTTTTCCTTAAAACTTGTTAAATTCGTTACATAACAAGTGATTAAATATATTTATATATTAATAACATTTATTAAGTTCAATTGTAATTTTCTGAGTAAAAGTTTACATAAATAAATTGTTTTAGAATTTTACTCATCAATAATTACTACGCATTGACAGACATGAGACCTTATATGCATACAGTAGAAAAATATAATCCGGCGTTTACTTAACGAATGCAATAATTATGTTTTATCAATGAAATTTTTCTTAATTAAGAGTTTTTAAGAAAGATACAAATACATAACGTGAATTTACACCACGACAGAATTTTCTATCAATATTAATAATTTGATCAACGTTCCATACCAAGTAACATAAATGAATAGCCTCATGAAATTAATAAAAAATTTTTGATTATAAAATTGTCAGTAAAGTTGTAAAGTTTACCGTAAATATTTGAAAGTTAAAATTCAAAAGGTTAACAAAAACAGCTTTTTTAAGAACATAAAGTAGTTAACATTTTTTATTCTATTCTTTTTAATATTCATAATATTTGGGAGACATTAAAAAATAAAATTATTTGCTCTATGCCCATATTTCGAAAACCTGATTATCAAAAACTCGAATGAAATTTTTATTTTTACATGAAACTATTTGAATTCGGTTTATACTAAAACACATTTTAAAAATATTTTAATTATATATATATATAACTTACTCTACAATATACTTTATGTAATAAAATACTGTGAAATTAATTCCAGAGAAAATCAATCGTACGATTTGACTCGCTATCAAAACACTATGAAAGTTACAGCCTTTAAAACTAAAATATATCAAGAATACCTTCAATTTGAAAACTTTGTTTATAAAAATGAAAAGCCATTCAAAAGTATGTAACATTTTTACAAAAGTATCCAATCAATAGAAAATTCTTTCGTATTAGCTCTCCAAACATTTTGGGGTAATATGCATAATTGAAAAATTATAATACTTAAAAAATACTTACAGATATACTAAATAAAACAGTGCTTTAAAAATGTAGATTTACATACATGATATCAAAAAACATAAGACAATGAAGTGAAAATGTTGCATTATTGAATATGAGACCGAAAACGCGTTCAACGCGCTTAAAATGAATTGAGCAGAGCTAAGGCGGTAATTGTAAAACTTTATCGTGAGAGTGACTTGTCACCACGGGAGCGGTCACAGCCGTCGTATGTTGAGAATTATCAGTCGGTTGACTTTTACTATTTACACCAACGAGCAACTGATGACTCGGAACTGGCAATTGATGTGAAGTGGTCAAAATTTCTTTGGGGATGACGGCTGTGCTCGCAACCGTGCATGGTGCTTGATATGGCTGAGGTTGTTGTTCTACCTTGTTGAACGACATTTCAACTTGTGAATTGTTGACAGGACTATCGCTTTTAGAACGCATTGTGGACATCGTTGGCGTCGCCATCGTTGTCGTCGTTGTCGTTGCTAATGGACCTGATGTTGTAGAAGTAACAATGGTGCTTGTACTTGCGGTACAAGTTGCCCCATCCCAGTTATCAACATTGGATTTACCTGGTGGATCATCGTTGCTCAATGAATTCGTACTTGTTCTTTGACGTTTTACGTCGCCGTGTAACATGCTATGAACATTCGGAGAGCTACTTCGATCGCGTACACCTTCTTGTTCTTCTAAAAATCTATCCATGTAATCTCTACAGAATAGAAAATATTTTTTTACAAATAATTTAATGAATATTGAAAAATATTTTTTTTAATAATAAAACTCATAAAATCAGTATTGAAACAAATTTTTTTTGAAAACATACGTTATTCCAGGATGAAGAGCATATTTTTTCTTTTCTAATCTTGCTTTGTAGGTATAAATATCATGTCTTTCAGTTTTTTTCCATAAATAGTAAAATTGAACCAGTTCACCAACTGATCTCGTTCTGACCTGAGGAATATTAGATTTTTAGACACTTTTTTTCACTTTCAATTAATTTAGTAAACTATCATAAAATTTTACTTTATTTTTTTGAATTAAATGAAAATCCTTGCCATAACTCCTAAGTCCTGATTCAAAATTGTGGCATTCCTCTTCTGACCAAAGACTCACAGATTCATTAGGAGGTATTGCATTCATTCTGCGTCTACGTAAAGCTTCTTCCAAGTTGTAACCACATTGCAGTAAAAGATAAAGTGCTTGTTCATCGTCACGGATATGAATACCATTTGGTAAAGCACTAAATTTTATAGAAGGAACCATTGCATGCTCCAGAAATTCTTGGACATCATTTTCATTCATATGATGAGGATTCCAAAGTATTTTATCTTCATTTTCATATGGTAGAGCATCATCATATCTACAAAGGCCTTCAGGTATAGCAGCCTGATAATCAGTCCCTACCATTATTGTCTTTTTCCATTCTTCTTCATCAGGACTATAATCGCAATCGTCATCTTCCTCTTCACTTTGAGGACGAGATACGCTACGTAATAAACGTGATGTACCTCCAGCACTGGCAGCAACATTACTGTTAGTACTATCAACATTAGGGATATTGTTAACATTTTCAACACCAACTGTACATTCAACAACAGGAATATTAGTATCTCCTGTTTTGACTTCATTTTCACTTGTCCTAAAAAATAATTTTTAAAACATTATATAGTGTAAAATATGATAATTTAATTAATTTATTCAAGTTATTTATACCGTATAGTAGCATTTAGAGTACTAGCATCATTGTTAGAATCAGTTGTATTATCAGTTTTAGGGTCAGGTTTTATGATACTCGATCCATTTTCTGCTTTTACCATTTCTGTATAAAATTGTTTGAGATCAGGTTCATAGGGTGAAGGATCATCATCATCTTCTTCCTCTTCGTAATCCTCATCCTCTTCATCATCCTCTTCATCATCTTCGTTAGTCTCCATATTAGACATATTTGTATAATTATACATGCTTAGTAAGTCATTAAGAGGCATGTCACTCTCCTGTGAATCAAAAACACCAATCAACATCATGGGTATTGAGAATGATAGTCATTAAAGAATATATGTAATTGTAAAATAATTATTAAAATCATAGAATCAAGGAATATTTGAATAATGATACCTTTTGAAGATCATCTAATTCATTATTGGTATCTTCAGGAGCTTCTAAAGCTTCTTCTTCATCCAAAGTTCGTTCATCGTCATAATCGTTTGCCATAATATTTGCTGTTGGTCCAATTTCATAATCTCTATCAACTCGTGCTCGTTTAGATCGTCGTGATTCATCACGGCTCATTGTTAAACTTGACAATTATTGGTAAAGTAAAAATGTATTTTGTGTATACACTTAAAATATAAGTGTCATACGTCAATTTTTCAATAGACACTACTAACTGTGCAAAGAGGTCCAACGTAAAACTGCGGTCGTAAGAAATTAGTCCAAAAACTACAGCTTTCTTTTGAATTAGAAATTGGTAAAGCCGATGAACAATGCGAGCTTTTCACAACACTTGTCAAATACGCAGTTTCTAACCTCAATTTTTGCGATCTGAATAAATTCGCACTAGTTGAGTTCAACATTGATTAACATTGTATTGTATTCCTATTCGCTGTGATTAACACACTAAATATGACGAACTGACATAACTGAAATAAGTAAAGATTTGAAAATATTGTTATTGAATTGTCAACAAATTTGAGCCTTTTTAACGAGAAAATTTTTGCAAAGCTTACAGCATTTTAGCATTCAGCAAAATTAGTGTTTGGATTGTATTTGCGCAGAGTAGTTCGAAGATGACTCGTCACTGTTCAGTCACTGCGCTTAGGTCACTATAATACGTTTATTTTTCATTTGTTCGAAACTCAAACAAGATCAATTTTGAGTTTTTTGATAAAGTTGACTCTAAAAAAGAATCACTATCCCGTGAACGATCTACTAGCGACAAAATCGATCTCATCATTCCTGAAATAACGTATTAAGAGCCCTGATTGCATTCGTAATTGTTACGGTATCTAATCAAGAAAAATATAGAGTTCAACTTATTTATCAAAGGAAACCCCTTCAAATCATGCAATTTTAGGTAAGATAAATTTATTTTAAAATAGAAAATAGAAAATTGTTTGCCTCTAAAACACATATAAAACGTTATCCAAATTGACCAATAAACTCTAAGGTTCTTACTTAAGTGATAACGAAAATTATCATATGAATATAATTGAATAGTCAGAATTTTCGTTAATAATTTTTAAAAAATTCATAAATTTTTTTCAAGTAGTTGACACTCTTTTCGAAAAATTCGTTTTTCATGCCAATTTGATCTTGCTAGGGATTTTATCAAGTAGAATATACCTCAGCCATCGAGGAAATTCTTACTATAGAAGTGTTCTAGAAATGACTTCGCCCGTATATATATAAGATATGTATAGATATATATGAGTATATACATATATATATTTAATGTATATATATATATACATGTATATAGAGACATGTCGAGAGTCGACTGAAGATGCGATGAAAGCGTCTATCACATTTGCCAAAATTTTCATGCAGAAATTTCACAAATTCAAAACGTTATTTAGGCAATTACTTGTCTATCCCATTATTTTGTAAATGATGTCAAAGTTGCTAGTGAAAAGTGAACATGAAAATAACAGTACCATATTGAATTGTCTACAAACTGTGATTTCGTCCTTTATTCCTTCTGCTGGAGTAATATGTCTTACACTAATTTCGAAACATTAAACTAAAGATTCTATTTACTACACATTGACTTATTTTGTAAAACTGACTTCTTATCGTCAATCATCTTTAAACATCAATGTCAACAAAATTTGGTAAGCAAAACATGAAAGTAATAATAATTTATAAATTAGCAATAAAAGGAATTCATTCATTGTCAAGTGCCTTTAACTTCTACCATAACGAGTAATAAATGCATTTTTTTATAGGGCAATTTAAAATGAATAGTCGAACATATGATGGTTGTAATTACACAGCCTTGAAGGGAAATGAATGTGTTAGTACCATGTGAGAAAAATCTACTTCTACTATGAAGAATCCTCCAAATCAGACACAGAATGGAGGAGCAAAAGGTATGGTTGTTAAAAATAGAGATAATGCCAGCCGTACTCTTTGCTCCTTGAAAATCAACAATGGCTTTATTAACAGTGATATGTTTAAGGTAGGTAAACAGCAATTAGTTTTGCTTAATGGTGACTCGATCCGCTGTGACAGCATTGAAGGTAATGAAGCTTTAACATGTAATGTCACACCAGTTCCCAATACAAATAAAAGTAAAGCTTTGTGTGTTCATATCAGAGAAAACAAGTGGTATGATGCTGGCAATGTTGTATCTGTAGGAGTAGCTGGTACTAGCCTCAGTGATAACTTTAATAGCGTATCTTTGGCCTACAATGAAAGCCCTAAAAATATCTATTCTTTAGATGAGATCAGCATATCAGATAAAGAACTTTCGCGTTCTGGAGAATCTCTGCCATCTTTAGGCATACGACTAGATTTAGATGGTACTAGAGAAGATATTCATCAGCATAGTGAAAACAATAGTCCCAGAGGTAGTTTACCACGTTCTTGTAGTAGTACAGTGTCCTCCTTGAGTGAATGTTCAGCTGGTTCAAATGGAGCAGTTAGCGAGGATGGAAGTGGACAAACATCACCTGGGAAATCATCTAAACTTTGGCCAATGATGTTTAACATGTTTTCTTGGAAAAGTAGCTCTAAAGATACTGAGCAACCCAGTCCAACGCGAAACTCAGACAGAATTGGTAGTAGTTTAGCTTTAATAGAACAAGGCAGACCAGCTAATCTTCCAGCTAAGAGTATAGAAGAAGAAGAAATGCATCGAAAACAAGTTGAGTCTTTACTTGAAGCCGCTAGAAAACGTGAACGTCGAGAAGAGCGTGAACGCCGACAGCAAAGAGAACAACAATTGCGTGAGGAAGAACGGCTAGCTGAAGATTCACATACATGGGTAGTTCAAGTGCTGCCAAGATTTTATGTTCTAAGAGATACAAGAAGAGTTAGAGATCTTTGGTGGCGAGGTCTACCACCTAGTGTTCGAGGACGCGTTTGGCGGTTAGCTATTGGTAACGGATTAAATCTCACATCACAACTATACGAGCTTTGTCTTGAGCGTGCTCAGGCACAACCAAGAAATGAGAGCCTTGCAGCCATTCGTTTAGATGTTGCTCGTACATTTCCAAGCCTATGTGTCTTCCAAGAAACTGGACCATTGGCAGAAAACCTGCGAGGTGTATTGGCTGCATATGCACTCTACAGACCTGACATTGGCTATGTACAAGGCATGAGCTTTATTGGAGCAGTACTGGCTCTCAATATGGATGCAGCTGAAGCCTTTATCTGTTTTGCTAACTTACTAAATAGGCCTTGTCATTTGGCGGCCTTTACATTAGATCAACGACAGATGGGATTGTATTATAAAGCTTACTCAACAGCTCTTGCTCATCGACTTCCAAAGCTTTATGCCCATTTTTTGGCTGCTGGGCTTAGTCCAGATCTGTATCTCTTGGATTGGTTATACACTGTATATGCTAAAGCTATGCCTCTTGATATTGCTTCTCGTGTCTGGGATATATTTTTACGGGATGGCGACGAATTTCTTTTTAGAACTGCACTGGGCCTACTGCATCTTTATCAAGATGAGCTTTTAAGGATGGATTTTGTAAGGGCAGCTCAATTTCTCAATAGATTACCAGAGAATATGCAATCTGATGCTCTTTTTAACAGTATTAATCAGATGTCTACTTCGGTAGGCGCAGCTAATTTTTATCAGATGCTTGCACAATTTGCTACAAGTGTTTGAAATTTTTCGATAATGGTAGTATTACCTACTGTCAAATAAAAAAGTATATGCACCTTGCTGATTCATAAATTCATGAAAATGAGAATTTTTATCTTGATTTATGAAAATTCAATTAAACTGAAAAATGATTTCTGTAACAGAAGGAATTGATGGGTAAAGTAGTAATGCTTGAAATCTATTATTCAGTGCTTGAAAAGCTTATTTTAATAATCTGCTAAACATACTTACTTCATTACACATGATATTTCAAAATATAATCAAATGTTGGTAAAAAACATATATGAATGACTTGCAATTGTCATGAATTAATGATTTAAAGAAATATTTGTTATGAATTTCAATGTATTGCAACTATGTTACAATTTTCTAATATATTTCTTATTGATTATTGAATCAAAATGAAATATGATTCAATTTACTGTCAACGAAGAGGGAGTTTTATAAATACTCATTTTCAAAAATATATTTTAATTAATACTTAGAGCTAAGAAAAGAAATCTTGCATTTTATTATTTTACAAAATAACTCAATTATAGTAAAAAATTAATATATCCGATTCACAAATGCCAAAGTTTATATTTTTATATCAACTAAGTTTAAGTTTAAGTTTTTTTATCTTTAAGTTTTAATTTGACATTCTGAATTCTGATAACGACTTGTATGTTATTTAATAGTGCTAGTTTCATACAAAAGTCAAGAGAAGTTTTTTTTCAATATATTCAACATTTAATGAGAAAGAAACTATTATAAAAATGAAGACTATAAATATTTATCATACTAATAATAAAGTGGGAGATTTTTTTACTGCACAAAGAATACAAATATTTTTATATGAGATAAGAATGCTCGAAAATAGTTTGCTTCAGTCGATCGTTTAGTGCTGTTGTGTAGTATTGAAATAAATAAAATCAATACACGTGTTTTGGCTATGAGCTAAACACATGTATGATATATAATTTTTACCTAAAATTATACGATAAGATAACTATAATTGTCCAAAAAGCAATGTAATATTAAAAGTGTAAAAGATTGATATTTCTTTAACCGAATAAGTGTATGAAACATATATACGACAATGAAAATGTATAAATATCATTTTTGTTGCATAATTGTACACAGATCTGCTAAAATAAAAACCGTCCTTAGTTAAACACAATAGAGTCGAATAGTTTTGAAAAAAAAAATTAATTTCTCTATCTATGCTTGGGAACAGTAGCATGTAACATTACTAAAAATTTAAGCTAAAGTTTCATGTATTGATTGGACCTTTTTTGTGTCCGGGTATCAACTTTTTTTTCCAGTTTAAGTAGGCAATTTTCTCTTCATATGTGATTTAATAACATGAAGTAAATTTCAACTCATAAAATGATATATCCAACTAACCCAGGTATCGGACGAAAATGGCTATTTCGATACTACAAGTACTCGAAAGTAACTCGAAAGTAAAAAAAGCCAAAAATAAGTGGTACTCTGCGGATACTTAGAGTTCTATTGTTCTTATAATGAAGATAACATGTATCAGAATAACATATGAAAAATATCGTTGCATTGAATTACCTCGCACATAAATGAAGTTTACTAACTGCGAACATATATTATTGACTCTATTAGATTTGTTACACAATGTGTTGGTATAATACAAATCTAAGAAGTGTAACAGATAAGTAAATGATAACAATTATTGATTAACGATTAAACAGGACACGAAGATCTATTGGTAAGAAATTGAATAATAATTGAAAAGCAAGAGATTTATAAGATTTGCTTTCCACTTCTGAAAAGGCTTTTTAAACTCCGATATGATTATAAATAAAAAGCAAAAAATTAAAGACACAGATACATCTGCTTTCTTCATTTTAGGGGAAAAAGTCTTACGAGATTTAAAAATTGGACGAAAATCATGTGAAACTATTTAAAATTTAAAATTTCAACCGTGATTCTAAATATTTAATTTTATTCATTGCTTTATATTTATAATATAAAGCAAACAAAAATCTGATCGTAATGTGCATTCTTATGATTCACGTGTCTCAAATTGTTTCTAAAACAAGTAATCGATTAAAAAAATATGAAGAAAGCCTTGCATTATAAAAATAGCATGATACATGAACTGTAATATTAATATCAAGTAAATAATGAACATATATAAAACAAAATCTTACAATGTTAAATTATATTAAAAATTAATTTCATAATGTTTAATAAGTTGAGAGTGAATTTTTGAGCAGATTTTCTCGAAGAAAATACTTCTCATTTCAGAAACTTTCATAAATTTTAGTTTTATATTTTCCTAAAAAGTGAAAAAAGTGCGAGTTTTAGTATTGCTCAGAAAATTATTTCGAACGAGTTGAATAATTCGAACATCTTCGCTAAGTAAAAGCCAAATTGATAACCGTATAGAAGCATTCTAAATAAGAAAGAATATTTATTATAATATTTATTATATACTACACTATATATTTACAAGCTACGCAAGATATACCTTTATATGTACACAAAAAATGAAACATTATCTACGTGTATGTATATTGTACCTAAACGCATAAAAATATGTGCCTAAACGAAAATTTCATGAATTATAACTATCAAGAGGTGCGGTAGCACTTAGCCGGCAAAGTTAGTATACTACTTACCTTTACTACAAAACTTGCGACGTCATTTATGATAATTTTACTTACTCTCGTGATCTAAAAATGCGTGTTTATTACTTTTTACGGTCACGATGCAACAACTAACATGAGAATAATTTTACTCTGCTTAAGATTAATTATATTTTTTAAGCAATATATAGATTGAGAATGAATTTATAGCTATTATGTATGAGGGTTCTCAAGCTTTACGCTCATTGTGTTGTATTATAGAGTGTACATATTAATTCATTAATTGAGATTTATATTATAATACCGTGATTTTCTTTTCAAACGTGTTAGGTTAAATACGCCTGTGGAATATTTTATTTTTAAATAAATTTGTCTTATTATTTAGGATATGTATAAGCCGTTGTAAATTTTTTGCATATTATTTTCATCATTTTAAACGCTGGTCATGTAAATATTGGTATTGCGTCAATTTAAACTAGGTTAAGTTTATTTTATGTAACTTGTGAATATTTATTAAAAGAAATATCTTTTTACGTCAAATTAATATTATGAAAATGTTATATTAATTTTAAGTATTTAAAAAAACACATTTACTTGAGGGTCAAAATAATACTTTTTTAACATTGCGTGCGCGAAACACGGGTTTTCTAACCTTAAAGCGTCAGAAAACCCTAGTTTCTCGCAAGCAGAGTTAAAAAATATCGTCCTCACTTATGTCACCGATTTTGACGCGCTTTTGGTATGTTATAGTACACGATAAAAAAGTGTCAAACCCAAAATTTGGGACCTCCTCCCCCCTCCTACCTCCCTGTTCCCCTATAAACGTCCATTTTCTATCTATATTTTTTCTGAAGGCTTAAAGCAATTAAAAAATCTGAAAAAATTCACAAAAATACTTTCCAACAACCCAAACAACCTTGAATTTTTTCAGATTTTTGAGTGCTTCAGGCCTTCAGGAAAAATCATTGAAAATTTTGAAAATTCATATAAGGCGTTAGCATGCAATAACTTTTTCGAACATTTTTTCACTTTTTTATTTCATTGAAAAAAGTGACTTCAAATTTTTTCAAATTTTTTCAGACATCCGAACGCACCTTTTGAAGCCAAAAACCGCTTTTTCTACGAAAATAATTTCTTTAGGACGATACGGTGCCTCGAAAAATCTGGAAAAAATTTTTTCTTGTTTTTTTATCAAAATACATGACCTCAAATTTTTTCAGATTTTTTAATTGAAGGCGATAGCTTCTAGGGCCAAAAAATGCTATTTTTAACAAAAAAAGGTTCCTAGAACCCGATGGTTCCGGTAAAAAAATTTGAAAATATTTTTTTTGAATTCCTTGACAAATTTCAATAAATGTTGACCATTTCAAAATTCCGATTGAAGTCTCTTAACTCAATCTAGAGCATCAAAATAGTTTTATCATTACTTAATGTGTCTTCAGAAACGTCTTCAGAATTTTGCATTAATCTTTATCCTCCTCTAGATTGAGTTAGGAGACTTCAATCGGAATTTTGAAACGGTCAAAATTTATTGAAATTTGTCAAGGAATTCGAAAAAAATATTTTCAAACTTTTTTACCGGGACCATCGGGTTCTAGGAACCTTTTTTTTTGTTAAAAATAGCATTTTTCGGCCCTAGAAGCTATCACCTTCAATTAAAAAATCTGAAAAAATTTGAGGTCATGTATTTTGATGAAAAAAAAACAAAAAAAAATTTTTTCCCGATTTTTCGAGGCTCCGTATCGTCATAAAAAAATTATTTTCGTCAAAAAAAGCGGTTTTTGGCTTCAAAAGATGCGTTCGGATGTCAGAAAAAATTTGAAAAAGTTATTATAAAAGTTATTAAGGCTAACACCTTATATGAATTTTCAAAATTTTCAATGATTTTTTCTGAAGGCCTGAAGCACTCAAAAAATCTGAAAAAATTCAAGGTTGTTTGGATTGTTGGAAAGTATTTTTGTGAATTTTTTCAGATTATTTAATTGCTTTAAGCCTTCAGAAAAAATATAGATTGAAAATGGACGTTTATAGGGGAACAGGCAGGTAGGAGGGGGGAGGGGGTCCCAAAATTTGGGTTTGGCACTTTTTTATTATGTACTATAACATACCAAAAGCGCGTCAAGATCGGTGACATACGTGCGGACGAAAATTAAAAAAGTATTATTTTGACCCCTGAGTAACATATATTTGCTAGTTTATGGAAAAATTATTTTCAAACGGTATTATTTGCTGCAATAACATATTGGTATTTCTCAAAACTATGAATATTACAAATCCTCCAAAACTTGAAAAAAAATGATTGCAGTTCTAAAATTAATATCATTTATTTTATTTTATGCTAAAAAAACGCTCATGTGACACGAGTACGGTATACTCATTGATGGTACTTACAAATTCACATTCATAACTTTTTTTCTTCAATAAGTTACTGATTTTGGTATTTAGGTGTGCAATAAGCCATAGTGCTATAATATAGTTTATGGCAGAGAAGAATGGGACATGACCGTAAAAGTGTCATATGATAGTGCTATCACTGCGATTACGGATTGTCACAAAGTGTTAACTTGAATGTTTTGCGTGGAGGTTTAGTAAAAAGGTGTTACGAATTAAATAATTAAAATACATCAATTTCATGCCTCTGGTAAATTCAGTAAAGTATGTGCTTTGAAGCAATCTAAATAATAAAATTCGAATTGAAGCATCTTCACTTATATAACGTAAAAATAATATTAAGTAAATAATACATCTAATATTAGTTGAAAGTTAATTTTATGAATGCAATCATTTTTACAGACCCTTCGTTTAAACACTTTAACTTTTCGACCTCAAGCATTATTGGAAAATGCATGCCGGGAAAAAATATGTACATCAAATATCATATATTTGCAAAGTGTGTGCAATTAGTGTACAACTTTTTCCAATCAACTTAACTTGTTAATGCTACATTTATAACTAAACATTTTTCCTGAGATTCAGCTATTTATGTCAGCTTCTTTTGTATAAATGGTGTGTGAAATTGAGTTTCATCATTGTTTCATTTTTATCAAAAAACGTCGCTTTTCCCCATTAGTTCTTGTCAGATACCAAGAAAACCAATCAAGTTAAAGAACCGTTTGGACCTTTCTTTAAGATATCACAACGCTACAAGGACGGATGAAAAAAACAATGCAAAATAAATCATCGTAATAAGTATAAAATTATATCAGGCTAATTTTTTGAAATTCCCTAAATTACTCTTATATACTTCTGAATACTTGAATTAGCCTAGGGTCTTACAATAAATATTTATAATTCCACAGAGACTTTGTCACATGATTTTCGTCACAGGGTTCTACTTATCTTGATTTTTGGGATTTTGAAGTCTTTGCCATACGATTGTCGCTAAAATTAACTATTCACTCTGTCAGTCTCAAGGTACGCCCATAGGTATAGGAAAAGATTACATTTTTGCCATTTTTTTTTGTATTTCTGCTTGTTATGAGCGGGAGGGGAATTGAAATGGGTAAAAAATTATAGTAAGAATAATGCGGGAAAGCCCTTGTGGAATCAAACAACC